ACTTAAAGCTGCAGTCCGTAAGTTTTGCCTCTTTGTCGCCATCTCTGTTTGAAAACCTGTAATTGCAGCTGTGTGAGGAATTATCTAGCTTGCGTGGGTTGTGCGCCGTCGCGGCTCCAGCGCGGATGAATCTAATGTTTTGAGGAGTATGTCATAAACATAGTTTTTCATAAACACATACAATCCTTTCTGGATTACAATCCACCATCAAAATGATACATTTAATTATTCTAGCTGCTGTGAGAAAAGATAAGGCGATAGTTTCGAACGCTGGCTGGTTATGTACTTGCTCAAATATTGATTTCGGATAATTTTTAACAAAAAAAAAATTACAGACTGCAGCTTTAAGTTAATGGTGTTTGTGGTCAGTTTCATTCGCGGATCCTCATGATGACCAATATTGACTAGCCTACAACTCGGATAAGATTCCTAGAAGTTTCACACTTACAGCACACATTACAGACATTGATGCACAAACGCGGATATGTCCTACATGTCTACAGTATAAATAATGAATAAACCAGTCTTACAAACTCCTTGATTTCGCTTAAGCAACTTTAAATATAATATGCATGCACAACAAACTATAATAATGTAAGCATATTTCCAGTACGCGCCTCAGTATCGTCAACTCACTCATCAGAATCTTCGGGAATCCTCGGCAAACTTCGTCACGGCTCATTCGGTTCTTGTTGAGTCTTCGGTAATCCTCGGCAAACTTCGACAGCTGGTTGAACCGGCTCATTCGGTTCTTTTCGAGTCGGACGTGCTACTTCGGCTGTGCGTCCTGCGTCATCAACCTGGAACTAAAGTTCGATTTGTGAACCGGCTCGACCGTTTACGATTCGTTCAAGAACCGAACATCACTATTTCCGGTACAGACTGCATTTTTTTATTTATTTTTCTTTCTTTATTGGAAATAAAATAACACAACAATAATTGACATTAAGAAAAGAAAAGAAAAGCACATACAGACATCACAAACGCTTTACAAGAGCATTACAAAAGTTAACAAAATATAACACTTTGTCATCATAAAAAATGAAAGGTTCCTTACAACAGACTCTAGAATGTTATATGCTCTCGAAGCCTTTGAATTCAGAGGTTCTGTCTTTGTGAAGCAGCAAAAACCCTAGCTTTATTGCTCTATTTCTTTTCTGGTTCGCTTGTTTTATTTTGACTTTTTAATTTAGTCTTTTGGTTTTGCTCAACCAAGGCTGAACATGATTGATTATATTCTGGAATGTGATGACATACCTTGTTTGGTTGTTAAGTTGAAGCAATTATAATACAAATAAAATAAAAAACTTTGTTTAAAAAAAAAAAAATTTCATGCTAATACTGTTGTTTAAAAGTTATTTCTGACAAATATTGATATTTATTATTATCAATATTAATAAATAGATTTTTGTTAATTTAGCATTATTATGCCTCGTGTCTTTTATTTTCCATTACTCTTCAAGTATTATACACATAAAAATTTTTATAAATATTTATAATTCTAGATCCAATTTATATTTCTTTGGAAGTAAAGAAGAAAAAAAGTAAAAACTGAGACTGAATGTACGGGTTTTTCTCATCTCTAATGCACACTTCATTATAAACCGCTTTATTTTGTCGTATTTGAACACCATCTGTTTTCCCTCCAAATGTGACGAATGGCATAAATCACACAGGTTACGAACAGCAGCTTTTATTTACTGTAGAAATCCTGCAGTAAACTCACAGTCACCATAAATCTCTGAATCATGTTCGTAAATCACATCATCTGCAGCTTACTCTCATTATTTACAGCGATTAAACTCCGGAGGACAAAACACATCGGCGCGATCTGACGGCGGTGCGCTGGGTGATGTCATCACCGCCGGCCATCTCTGATTGGTGGAGAGTTCCGCGGCGTAACGCTCGGTCAGGATGTGACATCAGTGCTCTGATTGGCTGAACACGTGCGGCTCACATTTCAGAACTGAAATTAGATTCATGACAATAAAACACATTTCTCACGCATTCAAATTACTGTAATGCAAAAAAGATTCTCCTTATTAGCATTATACAAAAAAAGTGTCATCAACGTAATAAACAAAAAATTAATCTGATGTATTTACCATCTGGAAAATGATTTTGAACAAAAAAAAAATAAAATCTTGTTCTCATTACCGTAATGCAAAAAAAATAAAATTAAAAAATTAAAAAAATCCCGCTCATTACCATAATGGAAAATATATACTAATTATCATGTACAAAAAAAAAAGATTTACCGTAATATGGACGAATATTTTAAACAAAAAATTCTAGTTCTCATTACCATAATACAGAAAAAAATTCTCATTCTTATAATGAAATATACTAATTCTCATTACTGTCATACAACAAAAATTTTGAAAGATATTTGATATCATAATATGGGAAAATATTCTGAACTAAAAAAAAATCTCATTCTCATTACCATAATCAATATATATATAATTTTATTTACACGTATTTTCATTACCAGTACACAATTTTTTCCCCCATAATACAGAAAAAAATCCTGTTCTCAGAATTGTATTACAGAAATAATATTTTTATTAAAATCAAACTCAGTACAACAAATACTACCATGATGTAAAAATAATTAACCATTTATATATTAACATTAATTAGCCGGATTAAGTAATGAGACATTTTTGCATACTGTAATGAGATTGATTATTATTATTATTTTGCATCCCAGTAATTTTGGGATGAAATGTGCTTAATGGTCATGAAATCAATGTCAAAATGTAATAAAATATCCTAAAATAGGTTTGACTTTCTTTAAACAAAATAGAGTTTCTTTTAACTTTTGCGGTGAAATATGAGCGAACGTGTTCCTGAGCGTGAAGATCAGAAAACATCACCGGACCTGAAGATCACAGAAGCTCAGCAGAAAGACAAGCACGTCTGAATGAGAGAAAGGAGGAGAAGGGCTGATGCATCTGTGTGTGTGTGTGAGAGGTTATAAGCTCTGCTGAGACTCTCAGAGCACAGGGCCGTCACACAGCACGCTCTGACCTCCAGACGGGAAGAGCTCCAGCAGCCAGAAGCGCGGGTCTGCGAACACTGCGCACACAGAAGAAGCACAGGGCATGAGGGGACGCTCCTGCGTCTGGAGCTCACGCGACTGAGAGTGGCGTCTTACCTGCGTCTCCCGGCTCCAGCCACAGACTGAAGGAGTGGCAGAGGGTTTGGCATCGCTGCACGGGAAGAACACGGACCCACGGAGAACCTTCAGATACCACCAGCCAACCCCACACCTGCACTCCCTACAACAACAACAAAGGGGATGAATATATGTGAGTGTGTGTGTGAGTATGTGAGAGTGAGTGTGTGTGAGTGAGTGTGTGAGAGAGTGTGTGTGTGAGTGAGTGTGCGCATGTGAGTGTGTGAGTGAGTATGTGCGTGTGTGTGAGTGAGTGTGCGCATGTGAGTGTGTGTGTGAGTATGTGAGAGTGAGTGTGTGTGAGTGAGTGTGTGAGAGAGTGTGTGTGTGAGTGAGTGTGCGCATGTGAGTGTGTGAGTGAGTATGTGCGTGTGTGTGAGTGAGTGTGCGCATGTGAGTGTGTGTGTGAGTATGTGAGAGTGAGTGTGTGTGAGTGAGTGTGTGAGAGAGTGTGTGTGTGAGTGAGTGTGTGCATGTGAGTGTGTGTGAGTGTCAGTGAGCGTGTGTGTGTGTGTGTTTGTGAGTATGTGTGTGTGTGTGTGTCAGTGTGCGTGTGTGAGTGTGTGAGTTTGAGTGTGTGTGAGAGAGTGTGAGTTTGAGTGTGTGTGTGTGAGTGAGTGAGTTTGAGTGTGTGTGAGAGAATGTGAGTTTGAGTGTGTGAGTGTGTGTGTGTGTGAGTAAGTTTGAGTGTGAGTGAGTGAGTGAGTGAGTGTGTGTGAGAGTGTGTGTGTG